TACTTGTGCTACGATGTGGACAATGGCAGAGAGCTTGCAGCTAAACAGGTCCAGTTTGACCCAGACAGTCCTGAAACAAGCAAGGAAGTGAGCGCTCTGGAGTGTGAGATCCAGCTGCTGAAGAATCTCCAGCATGACCGCATTGTTGAAGGCTACTTTTAAATCTGTTGAACGTCCAGGGAGATTGAAGTGTTCTCCTACTGGCTTTTCTTACCATTCCTGATGTCTGATTTGTGTCCATTTATTCTTTTACGTAGTGTCCCCGGTTTGGCCAATGTACATGGCAGAGGGGCATTGCTGGCACATGATGGCATATCACATTAGTAGATGTGCAGGTGAATGAGCCCCCTGATGGTGTGGCTGATGTGGTTGGGTCCTCTGATGGTGTCACTAGAGTAGATATGGGGACAGAGAAGGCAATGGGGTTTGTTACAGGGATTGGTTCCTGGGTTAGTGTTTCTGTGGTGTGCTGTGCAGTTGCTGGTGAATATTTGCTTCAGGTTGGGTGGCTGTCTGTAAGCAAGCACTGGCCTGTCTCCCAAGATCTGAGAGTGAGGGATCATTTTTCAGGATAGGTTGTAGATCGTTGATGATGTGCTGGAGAGGTTTTAGCTGGGGGCTGTCCATGATGGCCAGTGGTGTTCTGTTATTTTCCTTGTTGGGCCTGTCTTGTAGTAGGTGATTTCTGGGTACCCATCTCGCTCTCTCAATCTATTTCCTCACTTCCCCAGGTGGGTATTGTAGTTTTAAAAATGCTTGATAAAGATCCTGTAGGTGTTTGTCTTTGTCTGAGGGATTGGAGCAAATGCGGTTGTATTTTAGGGCTTGGCTGTAGACAATGGATCGTGTGATGTTTCCTGAATGGAAGCTGGAGGCATGTAGGTAAGAATAGCGGTCAGTAGGTTTCCGGTATAGGGTGGTGTTTGTGACCATCACTTATTTGCACTGTAGGGTCCAGGAAGTGGATCTCTTGTGTGGACTGGTCCAGGCTGAGGTTGATGGTGGGGGGAAACTGTTGAAATCCAGGTGGAATTCTTCAAGGGCCTCCTTCCCGTTGGTCCATATGATGAAGATGTCATCAATGTAGTGCAAGTAGAGGAGGGGCGCTAGGGGACGAGAGCTGAGGAAGCATTCCTCTAAGTCAGCCATAAAAATGTTGGCATACTGTGGGGCCATGTGGATACCCATAGCAGTGCCGCTGACTTGAAGGTATAGTTGTCCCCAAATCTGAAATGGTTGTGGATGAGGACAAAGTTATAAAGTTCAGCCACTAGTTGTGCCGTGGCCTCATCAGGGATACTGTCCTGACAGCTTGTAGTTCATCCTTGTGTGGAATATTGCTGTAAAGAGCTTCTACATCTATGGTGGCCAGGATGGTGTTTTCAGGAAGGTCACCAATGCATTGTAGTTTCCTCAGGAAGTCGGTGGTATCTCGAAAATAGCGAGGAGTGCTGGTAACTTTGTAGGAGCTGGTAGCTTTGTAGGAGTGCTGAGCTTTGTAACTTTGTACTCACCCACATCTTCATCATATGCACCCACAGGAAGGAGGCCCTTTCTGCTGCCACGCTGGATTTCTTCTTAATGTTGCCTGTCAGCAGAGCTCTCCCTTGAAATCCCCCAACAAAATCCTACACAAAAAGTACAAAGAAACCAGTTTCCACCCTCTTTAGGATTAACCTTTGATGCTTAAGTTCCCCTGCTTGCTCTCCACTGACACCTACCAGGGCTCTCTCCCTAGAAGTCCCAATCCTGCTCTTTTATCAGGGTTTATCATCAGAGTTTGTTCTACCCCACGAGCTTCTCCTTGTCTCTCCTGACAGACTTCCCTACTCAGAAGAGGATACAAGGGCCTACTTTCCCCTGGACTTCCTCCTTGATCCTCCAAGTCACTCCATTTGCTAGTGCCAACAGAGGGACAGGAGAGTTCTTTCCCTTTCTCCTTACAGTCTCCTTCTGCTCCCAGTTTCCTGGCTTTATCATCATCACCAGCCAGCTCCTCCTCAGCTAGGTGTCACCCTTAACTGACCCTGGCCCAGCCTCCGGGGTGACTAGGAGGGTTAATTTGCCCCTCCCATTCCAGTTAACTCTTTCAGAACCAGAATGGAATATATAGCTCACTACAGTGGAGCTGCAACACAGCCCATCAACAAACATTCATTCCAGCCTATGGGCTGGAGTAGAACTATAGCTCTAGTATACCTCTACATCGTAAGTTTTGGGCCACTAGGTCTGTATAAGTGCTAATCACACAGCCTTTCTGATGCTTCACTCTCTGAGGCCAAGGTCAAGCCCCACTATCAGGCTTAAAAAATGCACAAGCTGTTGTGTAGGATCTCAGCACCTGGTGAACTTCATTCAATGGCAGCAAAGCCTTGGAGTGGCCAATGCTAAAAGCAAAGAGCTTGAAATCATCACACTGCGGATGCCAAGGCATATGGAAAGTAAGGGAGCAATGATTTTAACATTATAATAGCCCATATTTCTGTGAATGGATCTCTCTGTGTATACTCCAGTATTTAAAAATAACACTAAAAACGGAGCCTGACCCAAATAGACTGAAAAACAGATTCTAGGATTAAAACTTATAATTGATCTAAGGTAGGAATGTTAACTATCCATCTTCACTGGAATGGCATTTCCACAGTCCCCTTTATTAAATTTTCAGAACCAATTACAAAGACAGAAAAGTACTTCTTCAAGAATTCTTTTCTATCGCTAAAACTTAAAAGGGACAAACTAATGAGAGTGTGGAGGAAAGATCTGAGCTACCACCTCAGTGGAAAAAAAATGGAACAAAGTGTGTAGGAATACAAATTCAGCCAATGACTGAAGGTTGAAACTTATCCAACAAAAAATCATCTTCAGAACATTTTGGGATGTGTGAAAACTACAAATGCTAGAACAGTGAAGAGGAAACTGGGGATCTCATCCATATGTTATGGAAATGCGACTGCCCACTAGTAAATTATTTCTGGAGAAAAGAAGAACTGCTAACACTATTATAAACACAGGGCCTGCCTAATGATTAAAGGTTTGTTTTTTTTCATCTGGGAATTCTTAATGGTCAGTTGTGGCCAATTAGATACCCTATGTCAAGAAATCATCTTTGATATACAGTAGAATTATGACTGAGAAATATGGAATTATTTAGAAATTACCTTTAAAACAGAAAGACAGTCAACAGCCTCCTAGGAGGATGCAACCACTAATATGCAAGCTCAGAGATGCACTGTACAGCAGGTGCAGTTAAAGAGCTTCACTGGTTAAAGGATTCTGCTAAATTCACAGATAATCCCTATCCTTGAACTTGCAAAGCTCATCGTAATCGGTAGAAATCTTTCAGACATTTTAAAGGCACCCAAATCAATATGAAAGTAAACTGAGAAACAAACAAACCCTAAGGACCAGGTTCAGGCACTCTTACTTACAGTTAATAGAACCCTATTCCACATGTAGCCCTATTGAGTTCAGTTGGACCACTCAGTCAGGTACTGTTCAGCATGAGTCAGGGAAGTAGAATCTGGCTTTAAATTTTGTATCTATAGATACATTTTATAAAGGTAAGATGTGCCCCCATTTATTTATTCTTATAATACAAGAGCAAGGGGATACTGAATTAAATTGAAAGGCAACAAATTTAAAACTGATATTTTTAAAAACACAATGCATAATTAACTTGCAGAACTCATTGCCCCAAGACATAATTGAAGCCCAAAGCTTAGTACTAGGATTCAAGATAGGATTAGATGATGTACATGCCAAAACTCCAGCATTTTAACTCCATCCCTGAGGAGGGAGGGAGGATCCATGAGAGCAAGAACAAGTGAAATGGAATGGGGAAGAGGAGGGGTTTGGAAAACGGGGAAGGGACAGAATTAGTGGGAACATAAGGAAATGCAATCAGAGGGAAAGGGAAAAGAGGAGGAATGGAGAAAGAGGAAGAATCCAAGACAAGGAGATAAGTTTGAAACACTGTTTTAAGTATTGAACAGAAAGTTTAGGAGGAAACTATATTTCAACAGAATGATGACATTGTTGGGAGGCATTACAAATCTCAAGTCCCACCATGCAAGGGAGGGGAAGACAACACACATCTAAACGGAAGTGCTAGGGACGTCCTTAATGTCTGAAATACCATGTAATTGGGGAGAGCTGTATCTGTTTAACTGAGGGGTGAACTGAGCCTCTAGCACAGATTTGACAATTGCCATGTTGGCATTTAATTTGCGGGTGTAGTTAGCACTGAAAACTGAAGTATGCCAGTTGCTCACCAAGAAATCAGGGAACAGCCTTTAAGCTGTTAGAGCTGAGATCCCATGTTTTGGAGTCAATTTATTCCAAAAACAGACCATGTTTTCTCCATGCAGCATCCAATTAGCATGAGATATTGTTAGGCTACAAAAGATAATGTCACAAGCTATCCTGATCTGTACCTATTAGCTAACTAACCCCACCCGCTCCCAAAAAAATGTAGTATTCAACATTTCCACTAGCTTATATTAGTAGCTCTTGCTACCCAAAGTGGTATAATCCAAGATAAAGAATGTCAAATGTAATAAAATTATATACAGGTTCTTGGTCACTAATTGTTTCTGCAAAAACAAAAAAGGTAGTTTTAAAAAGCTCTGAAGATTGCAATGGTGCAGCTATATGCTATTTATTTTGGTCTGGTATGAGAAGGAAAAATTATCAGTACATCCTGTTATCTATAACACAACTATCTTTTTGCTGCCAACCACTAATCAAAACTTAACACCACTAGCACTATCATTTTATCCTTATTCCAAGATGACAGAACTTTATTATGAATAAATTACATTTAAATAACATTTAAAAAAAAACTCACTTTTGCTTTGAACCTGAACATTTTCTCTTCTTTGCTCAGTAATATATGCATTTGCAGAAAATAATTCTCCTTGCTAGTAAGATTCATAACACTTTGGATTTATTCTGGGTACTAGTTTTATTTTTCATTTCTTTATTCATTCTTTTTTATGTAGTATTTGCGGAATTCAGCATCTGGAGCGAGCAGGAAACAAGTTGACTCTCTTTGACTCCCTTTATTTCTGCATAGTGACATTTTCCACTGTGGGGTTTGGGGATGTTACACCCAAGATCTGGCCTTCAAAACTGCTGGTTGTCATTATGATCTGTGTTGCCCTTGTGGTGTTGCCCATACAGGTAAACTCTGATTGTTTTCCATTTGGAAGAGTTGGCAAAGTTTTGGGGGAAAGAGTATATTATCTTGAAATATATCTTGCAACTGTCCTTACTGTGTATATAATATAAAAAAAAAAGTACACCATCTTGTATGCTTCTTCATTTTATGCACAGAGTTGGAGCTTTCTTATTTGTCTTCCTGTTTGTAAAATAAATGTGTATATAGTTTATATATGCTAAAATGATAGAGGCTAACAAGTTTTCAAATCCTTGTAGAAGCTGTTGGCTCCAATCATACACCAAAGAACATACAGACACCATGTGTTGTCCAAATTTATCCTCATGCAGGGATTTACTTTATTGTGAACTTAAATAATAGCAGCAAAATCAATCAGCAGCCAAAGCTTTCTCCAGACACTTAGCTCTTCCTAGTATTTCTCCCTAGTTCTTTCTGCTTCAGAGTGACACCTCAACCCCTCTTGTACGACTAGGTCAGAGCTAATTGGACACGACAGATTTGATTTGTGACTCAGGCAAAAAGTCGTCTTGTCCTTAGATATCTATGCAAGGTTCAAGCACCTTACATCAGGCTGACTGAACAGAAGAGCTCTACGCTCTCATGCGGTAACTCAGAATCTTCCTTTTTTTTTTTTAACACCAAGTTAATATACTATCAGCTACATTTTAGTGGGCATGCAGTGAGAGAAGGGTTTTGTGTACTGGTCTGAGCACAGGACTGGGGGCAAGCTCTTATCATGGCTCCGACTGAAACACTTAACATCCCTGCCTCAGTAGAATGTGGATGAGAAAACACTCTGCCTCATTGGGTTGTTGTGAACATTAGCTAGCTTGTAAGGAGCTTAAAAGGTGAAATGGCATATGCAAGGTGTATTAGTGGTACTAATTGTATATAAAACATTTGGACATTAGTTCATTGAATTAATGCTTTTATGTCTTTAATTATTCCAGATACATTGCATATCATATTGATCCCTAGATTTCCCTTTATTAGGATCACAAAGCAGAATTTATTGTGAACCAGGAGATGCTGATTAAGGTGTAGAGGGAAAAGTGCCACTTATTGAAGTCCACTTCAACATCTGTCGTAGTCAATACCAAAAAATACTCAGTAGTTCTCCAGGAGCAGCAGGGACAGAACATGATGTTTCTATTAGCCATATGTTTAAGTGATGCCAATATTTAAGGTGCAGATCAGACAGTAAGAGATAATATGCAGACATCATTGTATCAAGTGTTGCCATCTTTAGATTTTTTTAAATCTCTGGGGAGAAACCGAGGCATTGTTCCATCTACAGAAGTAATACGTTGGTGTTTTTCTTACACTCCCATCTCCTGGAGTCATGTAAATTACAGATGAACCCTAAAGGCTCAAATACCAGAAAAAAATACATTTAAAAATAATCTCATGAGTTAACTCAAGTTTATGATTTTTGAATGCTTGAGAGTGGCCATATTGATGTATTATTGTGCTATCCCATCTGCTTGGTTGTAAATTGCTGCTCTTGAAAAGAAAAGATAAAGGGTGGGGGTTCTAAGTGTGTCTTTAATTGAGTGGATGGACTAAAGCATAAAATATAATTAACTCATACTGATAAAGATGCTTATATTGCACAGCTGCTTATATGTATTTATTCACTCTTGACAATATATTGCAGTTTGAACAGCTGGCTTATTTGTGGATGGAGAGACAGAAGTCTGGGGGTAACTACAGTCGACACAGAGCTCAGACAGAGAAACATGTGGTACTGTGCGTCAGCTCCCTGAAGATTGACTTGCTTATGGATTTCTTAAATGAGTTCTATGCTCATCCCAGACTGCAGGTATATTTACAATACAAGAGTAAAATAAGAAGAAATTCAGTTAGACATTGTCTGCAAGCAGCCAATCTTCAGAAATGGTCTGTAATTTGTGTGTCTGAATTAAAGAATGACTGACTGACTGAAGGAAGTATAATTGCAAGAAGTAGCTTAGATCAAGTACTGGATGCATTCATTTTAAATGGATCTAAAGATCAAACAGATAGAAATATACTTGTCACACACAGAGTCTAATTACTTTGATTTATACCAGTTATCTTACAGCCAACTAATTTGGTGAAAATTCCCTTTGATTAACCCAATATGATGTATAAAAAGAAAAGAAAAGTTGGTCATTTCATGTTTTTCTGCTGTTCTGGGGCCTCATCCACTGAACTCAAAGAGCATTTTTAAACTTAACAATTATGATTGCTGCAGTTAAGACAGAACTGGATACAGTGCAATGGACACAGCCTGAAAGTCAACATTGCTCACAAGTGAGGAGTTTCTCAACATAAGCATTAAGAGAATTAGGGAATACAGATAAATGTCTTTTTCATATGGCTGACTATATCCTAATCTGCTCTGTGAACGTTTATTACATCTGAAGGAGAGCCCTGTGTAAGCTCGAAAGCTTGTCTCTCTCACCAACAGAAGTTGGTCCAAAAAAGATACTACCTCACCCACTTTATCTCTTTAAATCTTCACAATAATTTCTGGGTAAAATGTATTAGAATTTTGGTTCCCTTATGACAAATTGTTAAAAATATATTTTGTGAGTTTTAGTATGGACTACTTCTATTTACTAAAAATACATTGCTACCTTTTGCTAAAGCACATATGGCGCTCTACATCATTAATTAATGGGCAAAATAAAATGTAACCTTTTCAATTTAAAAGCCTGATAGCACCATTCAACAATAACAGAACAAGAAAAAAAATCCAAACTGTGATCTAAATTCACAGGCTAATTAAGAACAAAATGGCCATACTGGGTCAAACCAAAGGTCTGTCTAACCCCATATCCTGTCTTCTGACAGTTGCCCGTGCCAGATACTTCAGAAGAAGCAAAGAGAACAGCAATTTATCAAGTGATTCATCCCCAGTCGTTCAGTCTGAGCTTCCAGCAGTCAGAGGTTTGGGAAGACTCAGAGCATGGATTGTATACCTGACCATTTTGGCTAATAGCCACTGATGGACCTGTTCTTCCATGTTATACTTTTGGCCTTCACAACATCCCCTGGCAATGAGTTCCACAGGTTGACTGTGCATTCTGTGAAGTACTTCCTTATGTTTGTTTTAGACCTACTTGTAGCAAAGTGCAGCAGGGCCCCCCCTTGGCTCCTTCCTGTGCTAGGTCCATAACGTCACACTGAGACCCTGGGGTTAATAATCACTGATGCCGTTTATTCACAGGCTTGTTCCCACCACCTTTTTTCACTATGTATTGTTGGTCCCTCACTATCGGAAGGAAGGAAGGAAGGACTACCTCCCTGCTTCCACTCCTGCCTTTTTCCTTTCTTTCTGTGCCCCCTTTGGCTTCCTTCCCCTGCAGCTTTTATACAGCCCCAGGCTAATTAGGTGATAGCTGTCTCTGCTTCCCCAATTAGGGCCAGGTTATTCCCCTAAATGGGAGCTGGTGTGAGAGGGCATAATAGGCAACCCTTTGCCCAGCACCCTGTCACACACCTCCCCCCCTTCTCCAACCACCAGATTTGCACCTATGTATCCTCTCCTTTCTCTACTGGGGCGGCGGGTGGGGGGGGACGACCCTACGGTGCAGTCTTTTCCCCCTCTTTTGAGTCAATCACAGGGTTTGCCGTGTGGAGTTCTTTCGTCCCGCAACCACAGAAACTACATTGTGTGTGGGGTGGATGGCCCCACAGCTCCACCAAAACCCACAGGTCCTCATACCATTCAGAGCCTCCTGGGTGTTCCCTTGTTCTCTCCCCCCCCTCCTTTCTGTCAGGGGTTCAGGGTTAGTCCCAACCCTCTCCCAGACACTCAGGGCTTCTGGTCCCCCAAGCTCGTCCAACGGGGCCTGGGTCTCTGGGAGGGGGGTCCGCTAATAAAGGCCTCCATTGGGCCTTGCTCTCCAGTCAAGGACCTGGGGGTGAATGTCTCACCCATAACTTCCTTCTCAGGCTCTGTTGGCTAGGGGTTTTCTGCCCGCATCCTCAGGGAACCTCCCTTTTTTTGTTTTTTCTTTTCTTGGGCTTTCTCCCTCTGCCCACATTCCCGCCTGGGAAGCGGTCTCAGTCCGTACCCGCTACCGCCAGATAAGGCGGTCCCTTTACTACCCCGACCCATTGCCACTTAAACCTGTCCTGAACCTCAAGGGGCACCTGGGCCATAAGATTTTGCCTCCTATCCCTGTGGATGCATTCTATGTCCATCTTCACATTTGAAATCCACCAGTGCGGCTGCACCAGCTTCCTTTGTACCAGAGAGCAGGCTGAGGCAAAGTCCACCACGCCTCACTGGGGTTTCCTCCCCACCATTACTGGAATGGTGGACAGCTTCTGCCCCTGCCCAACCACAAAACTTTGCCCACCTACAATCCATGGGTGGGCAGTCCCCTTTCTTGTGTCCCAATCATCCGCACTGCCAGCAGACAACTGATCTGGACCCTGTGAGAGCCCCTAGTGTGTCCTCCCGTTTGTTCTCTGGGGCCTTCCTGGGTGGAGGTTCTCTGGGCCTTCTCCGAGTCTCCACTTCCTTGCTTGGCTGTCCGCCTCCGCATACTCCTCCGTAAGCTTTACAGCCGGCTCAACTATATTTGGTTGGTGTCTCCGCACCCACACCTTTATTTTGTCTGGAAGGCCCTATAAAAACTGCTCTAGGATGAGCACCTCCATAATATCCCTCACTGTCTGGGCGTCCAGCCTCAGCCAGCAGGTGGCCCCGTCCATTAACTTTTGCCCCATCCACCTCACCAACCGGAACTTCTGACGGTACTTCTCCAAGGACAGTCCTACCCAATCCAGGACGGCTGCCTTTACCGCTTCATAATTCCTGGCTTGCTCTTCACTTAGGGCCATGTAGGCTCTTGGGCTTTGCCGGCTAGGTAGGGAGCCAGTCGCAGGGCCCCAAGTTCCCCTGTCGTATCCAGCCCCCGCAGCTACCCACTCAAAGCTGCCTAGGAAAGCATCAGGGTCATCTGTCTGGTCCATTTTACATAGTCCTAAGCCCGGCACCTGAGTGCCATCCCCTCCTGTGGAACTCACCACTTTCTGCAGGAGCTACTGCTGGATGCCAGCCTGCTCCCAAATAAAGTCCTGCAGGCTCTTCTGCTGTTCTGCCTGCCAGGTGAGCAAGGCCTGTCTCTCCAGTGGTGGGCTTGCTGAAAACTCTGCATTGACTTTTGCACCTTCTCCTGCTGCTTGACCAGCCATTGCAGGGTCTCCTCCATCTCTGGGCTGCCAAACACTTGCTCTAGCACGGGATCTTGGACAAGCTCCCATGTGTAGCAGAGTCCCCCTTGGCTCCTGCCTCTGCTAGGTCCACAAAGTCACTCTGAGACCCTGGGGTTAGTAACCACTGGTGCACAGGCTTGTTCCCACCATTGTTTCACTGTGTACAGTTGCCCCTTCACCGTCTGCAGGAGGGAGGGAAGAGCTAATTCCCTGCTTCCACTCCCTATCTTTTCCCTTTCTTCCATCCCCTGAGGCTTTTATATAGCTCCAGGCTAATTAGGCAAAAACTGTCTCTGTTCCCCCAGTTAGGACCAGGTTATCTCCAGCTAGCTCTAATTTATTCCCCTAAATGGGAGCTGGTGTTTACAGGGCTGAATCAGCAACCCTTTGCCCATCATCCTGCCACACTGCTGCCTATTAATTTCATTATGTGATGCCTATTTTGTGTGTTATGTGCAGGGGCAAACAACACATTCATTTTCTCCACACCATTCATGATTTTATAGACCTCTATCATATCTCCCCTCAGCCATCTCCTTTCCAAGCTTTTTAATCTCTCCTTCTATAGAAACTGTTGTATATCCCTAATCATTTTTGTTGCCATTTGCTACATTTTCAATTCTAATATATATTTTTAGATGGGACAACCAGAAGTGCACACAGTATTCAAGGTGTGGGTGTACCAGATTTATTTAGTGGCATTATGATATTTATTGTCATTTTCTATACCTTTCTGAATGCTTCCTAACATTAGCTTTTTTGACTGCTGCTGCACATTGAGAAGATGTTTTCAGAGAACTATCCACAATGATTCCAAGATCACTTTCTTGAGTGTTAACAGCTAACTAAGACCAAATCATTGTGATGTATAGTTGGCATTATGTTTTCCAATGTGCATTACTTTGCACTTATCAACACTGAAATTCATCTGCCAATTTCTTGCCCACACATCCAGTTTTGTGAAATCCCTTTGTCACTCTTCATTGTCAGGTTTGGGCTTAACTATTTTAAGTAATTTTGTATCATCTACCAACTTAGCCACCTCATTGCTTATCCCTTTTTCCAGATCATTTATGCATATGTTCAACAGCACAGATTCCCATACAGATCCTTGAGGGACCTTGTTATTTACTTCTCTCCATTATGAAAACTGATAATTATTTCTACCCTTTGTTTCCTATCTTTTAACCAGTTACTGATCCATGAGAGGACCTTCCCTCATCCCATGACTGCTTACTTTGCTTAAGAGCCTTTGGTGAGGGACCTTGTCAAAGGCTTTCTGAAATTTAAAGTGCACTATATCCACTACTAGATCACCCTGGACCACATGCTTGTTGACCCCCTCAAAGGATTCTAATAAATAGGTGAAACACAATTTCTCTTTAAAAAAGCCATGTTGACTCTTCTCCAACAAACTGTGTTCATCTAGGTGTCTGATAATTCTGTTCTTGACTATAGTTTCAATCTATTTGCCTGATACTATAATTTCCAGGATCGCCTCTGGAGCCTTTTTTAAAAAAATGGCTTCACATTAGTTGTCCACCAGTCATCTGAGGCTGATTTAAGTGATAGGTTACATATCACAGTCAAAAGTTCTACAAATTTCATATATGAGTTCTTTTAAAATTCTTGGATGTATACTATCTGGTCCTGGAGATTTATTACTGTTAAATTTATCAGTTTGTTCCAAATCTTCATATTGAGACCTCAGCGTGGGACAGTTCCTCAGATTTGTTACCAAAAAAGAATGGCTCAGGTGTGGAAATCTCCCTCACATCCTCTGCAGTGAAGACCAATGCAAATAATTCATTTAGCTTCTCTGCAATGGCTTGGCCTTCCTTAAGTGCTCCTTCCGCACCTGAATCATCCAGGGCCCCCCTGATTTTTTGGCAAGCTTCGTGTTTTTGATGTACTACCAAAAATTATCGCTGTTCATTTCTGTCTTTTGCTAGTTGCTCTTCAAATTCTTTTTTGGGCCTGCCTAATTATACTTTTACACTTGGCTTGTCAGAGTGAATGCTCCTTTCTATTTTCCTTAGTAGGATTTGGCTTCCAATTTTTAAAGGATTTATTTTTTGTCTCTAACCATCCCTTTTACTGTATTGTTTAGCCATGGCAGTATTTTTTGGTCTTTTTTTTTTTTTTTTGTAAACTTGGTGTATACATATAGTTTTCTCTATTGTGGTGGTTTTAAAAAATTTTCCATGCAGCTTGCAGGCATTTCCCTTTTGTGACTGTTCCTTTTTTGTTTAATTAGCTTCCTCATATTTGTTTAGTTTCCCTTTTTGAAGTTAAATGCTACTGTGGTGGGTTTCTTTGGTATATTCCCCCCACCCCCGCACCCCAGACGTTAACTTTAATTACATTATGGTTGCTGTTATTGAGAAGTTCAGCTAGATTCACCTCTTGAACCAGATCCTGTGCTACACTTAGGACTAAATTAAGAATTGCCTCTCCTCTTGTGGGTTCTAGGACTAGCTACTCTAAGAAGCAGTCATTAACAGTGTCGAGAAATTTTATCTCTGCATCCCATCATGAAGTGACATGTTCCTATTTGATATGGGGATAGTTAAAATCCCCTATTATCATCATTTTTTCTGCCTTTGTTGGTTATCTAATCTCCCTAAGCATTTAACAGTCACCTCCCTGGTCCGGTGGTCAATAATATATTCCTAATGCTATACTATTATTCAAGCATAGAATTTCTATCCATAGAGATTCTATGGTACTGTTTGTTTTTTACCATATAGGACTATTCTTTCTTTCAGTGTCACTTCTCCATGATTGTGACCTATTCAGTGTCCGATTATCATTGTTCCACCAAGTTTTTGTTATGTCTATTATATCTATATGCTCATTTAACACCAGCCACTCAAGTTTACTCATCTTAGTATTTAGACTTCTAGCATTTGTATACAAATACTTATAGAATTTGTCAATATTTAGTTGTCTGCCTTCATGTGATGTAATTGAATGGGATTCTTTTTTGACTGTTTCTTCAGTTCCTACCCGTACTTTATCAACTTCTAGCCTCTCCTTTTTACTAGGATATAGAGTATCCCTGTTAAAAAAAATCCTCCCCTAAAGAATGTCTCTCCAAACCATGTGCTCCTCTGTACCTGTCAGCTTTCCCCCAGCCCTTAGTTTAAAAAGTCCTCTATGATATTTTTAATGTCACCCACAAGCAATCTGATTCTGTTTTGGTTTTGGTGGAGCCCATCCTTACTGTATAGGTTCCTCCTTTCCCAAAAGGTTCCCCAGTTCCTAATAAACCTAACTCCCTCCTCCACTCACCATCATGTATCCATATATTGAGACCTTGCAGTTTTGCCTGTTTAACTGGCCCTGGGCATAGAACTGGAGGCCTTTTAGAGAATGCCACCATGAAGGTCCTGGACTTGAACCTCAGACCTAGCAGGCTAAATTGGCCTACAGGACCTCTCTCCTACCTTTCCCTATATTATTGGTACCTACATAGACCATGACCACCCCAGCACCACACATTAGTCTGTGTACCTGTCTGCAGAGATCTTCAACCTTCGTATCCAGCAGGCAATGTACCGTGTGGTTCTCCCAGTCATCACAAACACAACTATCTATACTTCTAATAATCAATTAATTAATATTAATATTACTTGTCTCTTCCTAACAGGGGTCCCCTCGCTTGGAAATGTATTCTCTGAACAAGAGGATAGCATGAAGTCATCTGGAAAGAGGGTCCCAACTATAGGTTCATTTCCCTTTGCTCTAGGTTGATCTTCTCTGAGACTTTTATCCTCCTCAGCAACACAGAGGATGATAACCAAACATGTATTTCACATGTAGGCCCAGATCCACAAATGTTCTTAGGAACATTTGCTCCAGACATAGTCACTGAAGATCCAGATTTAGGCACTTAAGACCCAGTTTTGGCTCCACTGAGATTCACAATACTTTCTAAACTCACTCGACACCTAAGGGTAAATGTTGCTTCTTCACCTAAGTTCCTGCTTCTGGGCACGTACATTTCTGCCTCAGTTTACGTGCCTATCTCCCACTTAAGCTCCAGAGCCATCCATGACCTCAGGGAAGATAAGCATTCAGCTGCCTAAGTCATGTGAAGAGGCAAGATTGTGATATGCACACTCAGAGGCTGCCTAAAAGATCAGGTCCCATTCGAAATCTGGTGGCAGCAGAAGAAGGTTGTGGTGCCCCCCTTATAACTTTTAGCCCAGTGATTAGAGCAATCACCTGGGATATGGGAGACCCACATTCAATTCATAATTGTGTGTACAGTGTATATTTAATACACATAGCCACACATTTTAGCACGTAACTAGAGTAACAGGCCAGGTGCTGAGATGATACCCTGGGGAGAAGGGGAGCAAAATCCTCCTATCACAGGTCCCAGAGGTTCCGTCATCTCAGTGGTGGAAGTATCCTACAAAGGACACTTATGCAATAAGTGATCTCTTATGAAAGCAGCAGAGGATCTGTACTATGCTGGATCCAATTCACTACTCTTCCTGCACAGTTTCATTGGAGGAAGGAAAGACATCCTGAATTCCTCCTCTTCATTCCACCACCTGCTCACAGCAGAACCACATCGGAAACGGAGACTGAATTTGACCCTTAATCTGGGGAAAACATCCATAATATTTGCTTGTTTCCATCAAGGCCAACCTAATAAATTTACCAGCTATAAACTGGATGGGGATTTGAATTGTTTATGAAAAATGTTGTAACAATTTTTAAAGCTCCAGTTTTATTATAGAATCTGAAATGTGCAATGTTGAAATAGTTTATCCAAGAAACCATTTTAAAAGTTATTAGATACTTTTTCACCTCCAGATTCTCTATTAACCTATACTCCAGTGACAACAGAAGGTAACAGTAAATAATCTATGTGCCTTTTCTATTCTCCTTTATATTTTTGACAGGACTATTATGTGGTTATTTTGTGTCCTACTGAAATGGATGCTCAAGTGAGAAGGGTGTTGCAAATTCCAATGTGGTCTCAAAGAGTTATCTATCTGCAAGGCTCAGCACTGAAAGATCAGGACCTGTTGAGAGCTAAGTAGGCAAAAACTAATATATTTTTCATTTATTTGTTTCAACTCATACTTTGAAATAAGGTTTACAAACAACATGAGACAGATTAGAAAAGAAGTTTGAGCATTTTAGAAGGGTAACATGAGTAAATCTTTGGCATAATTCAGCTTTGTTCCTAACTTTTTTTTTAAGCCATTTCTTAATCTAACTCTACTTTACTGGACCAAGCTTTTCGTCACTTGTCTCTTCTGTCTCAATTTTAAAAGCAGCATTAAAACAATTCAGAAATAAATCAAATAATTGCTTTTCATGACAAAATGACTTACCAGTTGATGCACTGACTTGTGGCTGGGTGTGCTCTCTCCATAGTCTTGCCAACCAGCTGTCCAGGTCCACTGGCTGTCCCCTTCATCTTGGGCTTGACTTTCTAGCCAGGACACATTTAGTCTCACTCCTTTGGGGAAAAAACAGAGTTTAACTCAGTAGTTCCTTGTCCTTGCATCAGTGGCCCAGGTCCAGGCCCAATAATGCTTCTAGCCCCTGGTGTCTGGTATCTGTGAGGCTTTAGGAGAATTCAGTCCCTCTCCCTACTTAGAGTTTCAGCCCAGGGACACTGAAGCATGTAGTTAAGTTTTATATCGTCAGAACTCTTGCTTCTTCCCTGGACTAGTTCCTCAGTCAGCCCACCATCTCCTCAAGGGACTTACATTCTTAGCAGAGATCTACTGTGGGATCAAGCCCCTGATCCCAGTTCCTAACATGACAAAGGAAATAAAGCTAAACTAATAGAAATAAAGAGCAGCACAATACCTCAAGAGTCCTTTAACCACCTGTATTACTGCTCCATCTTGACAGGAAACCTAAAGCAGCTTGGACCTTGACTGGGCTCCTGTTTGGGAGCTGAAAATGAAAAGTCTGTCCATCTTCCTGGGATGGAGCCCTCTGGTCTGGGCTTCTCCCTTTAAGCCTCCTCCTCGAGCCTGGCATAGTTTACAGTTGTGGCAAGGCAGGGCTGCCTGAGCCTATATCTGCTTTTTAACCACTTTTTGTCTTGCGGTGTTTGTATACCCTATCATACTTTAAGATACAACACTGGATACTGGAAAGCTGATAAGTGGTTTTAGAATTCGTATGAGTGATATGATTCAGTGATATCTGGACCAACTGAAGTAAAAAGAAAGAAAACAAAAGCAAATATTCCCCTTCACATCTTGCACCCATTCTCATTTTAACCTCATTCAACGCAATCCCCACACTGTAAGAAACTTGCTTTACCTGGTTGTGACAGAGTGCTGGGCAACAGCAGCTGAACCAGCACTCTGATCACTTTATCACCAGTTAGTTGCAGAGGAGTAAACCTGACTATGATGATTGTTCCTAACTGATAGATTGAGGATGATCTGGAGAGAGCTACAAGGCTAATAAATCCATTAGCCCGGAAAGTAGAAAAGTCATAGGAAAGAAGTGACACAGGGGAGAGATGGCAAGAGAAGTCCCAAGAGCAACTTTTGAGGGAGAGATCTCTTTCCTCTCCTGTCCTTGGTGTAAGAAGCTGCTATTATACATAAGTTGCTGCACAATGATGTCAAGGTGCCAGGGGAACATTTTAAATAAACCACATGTGGTATTTACAAGCAGAGAGTCTCCAAGTAGTCTGTATGTTCAGAGGAAGATAGAAGTGGAAGGTGTGCCCTTTTATATGAATCTGCTATGCCTCCATGCCCTCCTCCTTCAACACCTTCATTACAACAAGCTTCTATAGCAAGATCTGTACACCTATTTTTCCCATCCAGGAAGTGTTAACACACACACACACACACACACACACGAATCAAACAAAACATCAAGACACATAGTACAAATCAGTGCCTATTTAGTATTCATTGCATCCCATCTCCATTTCTTCCTATTTACAGAATGTTCATGCTTTGTTATTGTACCTAACCCATGTAGGCATTTGCATACTGGTTGATAATACTGCCCTAGAAACAATTCTTCTCTTTTTTATTTTAAGTTTAAACTTGATCTGAATTTAATAGATGATGATAGGCCAGACATCGCATTTCTTCGGAGTCTTGAGAGGAATGTCTTCTCAAATTTCTATCTCTGATAAAGAGCTAATACCGGATGTTCAAAAGAAGAAGAAAAATAAAAGGTCTGTTTGTGAGATGATTGTGCCTCCTTTCTCCCCAAAAAAATATATAAAAAATTGCCTTTTTTGCTTTCCCACTGATCTTGAGAAAAGAGAAGAGATGTTAAGAGTAAAAAGAAGGGTTTTCTTCAGGTATGTTAGCAACAAGAAGAAAGTCAAGGAAAGTGTGGGCCCCTTACTGAATGAAGGAGGCAACCTAGTGGCAGAGGATGTGGAAAAACCTAATGTACTCAATGCTTTTTTTGCCTCTGTCTTCACAAACAAGGTCAGCTCCCAGACTGCTGCACGGAGCAGTACAGCATGGGGAGGAGGTGACCAGCCCTCTGTGGAGAAAGAAGTGATTCGGGACTATTTAGAAAAGCTGGACGAGCACAAGTCCATAGGGCTGGATGCGCTGCATCCGAGAGTGCGAAAGGAGTTGGCAGATGTGATTGCAGAGCCATTGGCAATCGGGGGAAGTCCCCAACGACTGGAAAAAGGCTAATGTAGTGCCCATCTTTAAGAAAGAGAAGAAGGAGGATCCTGGGAACTACAGGCCAGTCAGCCTCACCTCAGTCCCCAGAAAAATCATGGAGTAGGTCCTCAAGGAATCAATTCTTAAGCACTTAGACGAGAGGAAAGTGATCAGGAACAGTCAGCATGGATTCACCAAGGGCAAGTCATGCCTGACTAATCTAATTGCTTTCTATGACAAGATAACTGGCTCTGTGGATGAGAGGAAAGCAGTGGGCGTGTTGTTCCTTGACTTTAGCAAAGCTTTTGACATGGTCTCCCACAGTATTCTTGCCAGCAAGTTAAAGAAGTATGGGCTGGATGAATGGACTATAAGGTGGATAGAAAGTTGGCTAGATTGTTGGGCTCAATGGGTCATGATCAATGGCTCCATGTCTAGTTGGCAGCCGGTATCAAGTGGAGTGCCCCAAGGGTCAGTCCTGGGGCTGGTTTTGTTCAATATCTTCATTAATGATCTGGAGGATGGTGTGGATTGCACCCTCAGCAAGTCTGCAGATGACACTAAACTGGGAGGAGAAGTAGATACGCTGGAGGGTAGGGATAGGATACAGAGGGCCCTAGACAAATTAGAGGATTGGGCCAAAAGAAATCTGATGAGGTTCAACAAGGACAAGTGCAGAGTCCTGCACTTAGGATGGACGAATCCCATGCACCGCTACAGACTAGGGACCGAATGGCTCGGCAGCAGTTCTGCAGAAAAGGACCTAGGGGTTACAGTGGACGAGAAGCTGGATATGAGTCAACAGTGTGCCCTTGTTGCCAAGAAGGCCAATGGCATTTTGGGATGTATACATAGGGGCATTGCTAGCAGACCAAGGGACGTGATCGTTCCCCTCTATTTGACATTGATGAGGCCTCATCTGGAATACTGTGTCCAGTTTTGGGCCCCACACTACAAGAAGGATGTGGAAAAATTGGAAAGAGTCCAGCGGAGGGCAACAAAAATGATTAGGGGACTGGAATACATGACTTATGAGGAGAGGCTGAGGGAACTGGGATTGTTTAGTCTGCGGAAGAGAAGAATGAGGGGGGATTTGATAGCTGTTTTCAACTACCTGAATGGGGGTTCCAAAGAGGATGGATCTAGACTGTTCTCAGTGGTAGCTGATGACAGAACGAGGAGTAATGGTCTCAAGTTGCAGTGGGGGAGGTTTAGGTTGGATATTAGGAAAAACTTTTTGACTAGGAGGGTGGTGAAACACTGGAATGCGTTACCTAGGGAGGTGGTGGAATCTCCTTCCTTAGAAGTTTTTAAGGTCAGGCTTGACAAAGCCCTGGCTGGGATGATTTAGTTGGGGATTGGTCCTGCTTTGAGCAGGGGGTTGGACTAGATGACCTCCTGAGGTCCCTTCCAACCCTGATATTCTATGATTCTATGATTCTTTAGTGGGATTTAGTTAGCATTTGTTCTACATCTTAGGAGGTGAAAAAGAATCAAAATGCTGTTCTCTGAGCATAATCATATGCATTTAGCCTATAATAACCTGAAGTTAGTCAACTGGAGACTTGTACTTTTTTCTGCAGAACATGTAATTGAATGTGCCCAAAGATTTTTTTTTAACATGTCCTAAGGGAAGCAGCATGGTGGGAACTTAATAGAACATTTAGTATGAAATATAACCCAATAACTAAGAGGTTGCTATATTTCAGTGGTTTTTATGAAAAACAACGTACTGAAAAATAACAGATGCTTGGTAAATTTCTGTAGTAAATAAAATATTAGGCAGTTTGGTTACTATTAATAAAAATAAAATCTGGTTGTCTCATCAAAATTTATATACATATTACAGAAAAAACTGTTAAAAGAAATTAAGTTTACAAAGTCAAGAACTCAAATGTTAGGGTAATTCTAAAATTAAGGTTGCCTTTTCAACCATAATCCAGTCTCCTCCTGCATATTCAAGATGATACAGTCTTTAATTACATGATTACATAGCATTATTTCCACAGGACACCTGTTTTATTCAGTGCACAGAATGGACAGTGGTCAATTGTGAGCAATTATTCCATATTTTGTTGTATGTGTGCCCCCATGTCTTATCTATTGAAAATTCAAACCCTGTCCTTAAAACCAAATTATTTATTTCCTCATGAGCTTTTCTATGGTGTTCATCACTATATTATGTGAGTGCTTCACAAACATTAATCTATCTTCACAAAATGCATGTCATGTGAGGGGCTGGTGGTATCTTAATTGTACAAGTGGGGAGCTGAAGAAGAAAGAGATTAAGGTCAAAAGTAGTCACTAATTGTGGGTGCCCAATTTGAATTGCCTAGAATCTGATTTTTCAGAGTTCTTAGAATTATATAGCATTTTAAATATTCAAGCATGGCACCGTTACAGTTTTGAGTGCTCAGAA